TCAGATCGCGTGCCGCGACATGCCGCGCAGCGGCTTCAGCAACTTCGTGGAGAAAGTGGCAGCGGCGGATTCCGATGCACAGAAGGCGAGACGTTTTGAACGATGGAGGAAAGGTATAGAATCCCAGAAAAACATGTGATAAAGTTTGTGTGTCTTTTTGTTGCATGGAGATTACCATAGATATATAAATATATAAATTACGTATATGATATATTGTTATGTAGTATGTATATATCAAGGTGTTCGACTGATGTAGGGTTTTTTCATCCCTGAGTCCAAGACGCGGCAGGAACTTCGAGCACGAGTGGCCGAACTCGAAGCACAACTGGTGCAACTGGGGGTGGGAAGCTAAAGGTCTGGGGAATGGCTGGCCTATTACAGTAGAAACATGTAGAAACATGGAGAAACCGTGAACCAGAGCGGCAGTTGAGGGTGATAGCCAGCATCCAGAAACTGGGACGACCAGAACCTCACTGTCAATGGTCGAAAACTGCTGAGTCAAGATATTTGATTTTCCACATCCCAAGGGAAAAAATTATCCCCAAATTAAAAAAAAACAAGTACATGTGAAGCATATGTGAAGCATAAGTGTGGTTTTCTGTCTTGTCTTGACCAAGAAAATCCATGGTGCCAGCAGAACTACAACCGCCAAGGTGAGGCCTATAGGAAGTGAGGCCTGGGTTGCTTCTCTGGGGAGTTCACCAAGGATTTAGCCATGGGTCAAGTTACCTATATGAAATGACCAGATGACTGGGGAATACTGGGGATATAAACATCCAGATTTAATAGTTAACATCCAGAAAAACCATCTAAGGTAGGGTTTTGAAGGGTTTTGACTCGTAGGATATGAAATACCATGAAATAGCCTTGAATATCCTCTGAAACCAGCAGAAGCCCTCTGTATTTCACCCACTTGCGGTCAGAGTGTGTCTCACCGATTCTTCGCACAGACATGTGCCGCTGCATCTATCACACGCACGAACAAACGAACAATCGAGACTGATACAAGAATGCAAAGGCCAGCAGAATAGTATGCAATCAATAGTAAGAACGATTTAAACGGATGCTAGTGAATTGATACACAATTGTATCCATATACTTCCATTGTATACATCTATATAGTTTTCCCTTTCACACCTTACTGTCACCTTAGAATAGTGTAAAACCTTTAGATTTCTTTCAGAAATGCCTCCTATGTCGTCACCAGCGGAGTGTCGCCAGGGTGCATCTGGTGGGCCAGTGACGAGTTTTCTCGAAGAATCTGGGCTGATGCAGTACGCCAAGCATCTACAGGCGAAAAATCCTGACAAGGGCTGTATAGAGTTGGGGATATACTTGGGATCAGTTGGGATATAGTGGAAAATTCATGGACATATTATCAAAGGAAGTTTAGGGGGAGAAACTTCCGTGTTACGGACTTTTAGAATGTCAGGGAAAGAGTTAGTCAAAGAAAGAGTTAGTGAGGGAAAGAGTTAGTCAAAGAAAGAGTTAGTGAGGGAAAGAGTTAGTCAAAGAAAGAGTTAGCAAAAATACAGTTAGTCAGGGAAAGAGTTAGTCAAAGAAAGAGTTTAAGCAAGAAACAGTTTAGTCGGGAAAGAGTAGCAAAGACGAGTTAGTCAGGAAAGTTGTCAAATAAAGAGTTAGTCAAAGAAAGAGTTAGTCCAAGAAACAGTTAGTCAAAGAAAGAGTTAGCAAAGAAACAGTTAGTCAGGGAAAGAGTTAGTCAAAGAAAGAGTTAGTCAAAGAAAGAGTTAGCAAAGAAACAGTTCGTCAGGGAAAGAGTTAGTCAAAGAAAGAGTTAGTGAGGGAAAGAGTTAGTCAAAGAAAGAGTTAGCAAAGAAACAGTTAGTCAGGGAAAGAGTTAGTCAAAGAAAGAGTTAGTGAGGGGAAGAGTTAGTCAAAGAAAGAGTTAGTGAGGGAAAGAGTTAGTCAAAGAAAGAGTTAGTGAGGGAAAGAGTCAGTCAAAGAAAGAGTTAGTGAGGGAAAGAGTTAGTCAGGATATATGAGGTAGTCAAAGAAAGAGTTAGCAAAGAAACAAGTTAGTCAAAGAAAGAGTTAGTGAGGAAAAGAGTGAGTCAAAGAAAGAGTTAGCAAAGAAATTGTTCCCTCACTGTAAATGGGATTGCAAGTGGTGCTGGTGGAGGAGTTGCCGATGGAGTTTTGGAGGAAATCTCGCACGAAATGCGTTTTTGAGAGATAGCAGATGCACGAAAGCCTATGTTTTTCCATACAAAGTCCGTCCCCGAACGTCGATGATCTACCTCTGCGGTGCGACGGGTGCGAGACGGTCTCGTGTGTGGTCGGATCATTCTCGGATATTCTCGGATATTCTCGGATCGGTCTCGGATCGGTTCCGCATTGTAAATGGGGTTTCAACTGTTTTTCGTGCATGTGTGGTCGACAGAATTCCATTGTGATTTGCAACTGTAGGATCGTTCCCGCATTGTAAATGGGGTTGCAAGTGGTGCTGGTGGATGAGATGCTGATGGAATTCCATTGTGATTTGCAACTCTAGGATCGTTCCCTCACTGTAAATGGGATTGCAAGTGGTGCTGGTGGAGGAGTTGCCGATGGAGTTTTGCAGAAAGTCTCGCACGAAATGCGTTTTTGAGAGATAGCAGATGCACGAAAGCCTATGTTTTTATACAAAGTCCGTCCCCGAACGTCGATGATCTACCTCTGCGGTGCGACGGGTGCGAGACGGTCTCGTGTGTGGTCGGATCATTCTCGGATATTCTCGGATCATTCTCGGATCGGTTCCGCATTGTAAATGGGGTTTTAACTGTTTTTCGTGCATGTGTGGTCGACAGAATTCCATTGTGATTTGCAACTGTAGGATTGTTTCCGCATTGTAAATGGGGTTGCAAGTGGTGCTGGTGGATGAGTTGCTGATGGAATTCCATT